CTTTGCTGTGTATGACACCGAATCATATTCTTGATTTACATCCGAATTGGGAATAAATTCCAAACAAGTGATATACTTGTATAATCTTGTCAGCATTTTCATCATAAGTTACACCAGAAGTGAATTGTACTCAATTCAGACTAATAATAATATTATTCAGTTTGGTTTCACTTCCTTCTTCGGAACAATAGTATCTAGACAAAGGCTAACATTCCTGTACTATAGGGACACTACAGCCTCCAGGGAGTCAGCGGCAAAATAGTCATTCCATTGACAGAGTCGAATGAGTTGTTGGATTAATCCCCAGTCTATGTTTGTAACTACTACATATTATGCTCCCTGAATCTTGTTTGTTCGCTGTATTCAGTGGTGAAAAAGGTAGAGAGCAGAGTACCATTCAAAAGTCACTACTGGAAAATGCGTTACCAACATAATTGGAGACTGGGATTGTATCCTGATAAGACACAAGGTTCAACATGTTGTCACCACGAGTAGGTGTCTGGACGTGTTGTTGCCATCCATAACGGTCAATAGTGGCAAGTAATTCGTCGAAGCGTTGGGGGCCGGAACTAGTTAGCCAATTGACTTCTGGAAGATTGAAGTTCCCTGCAATTATTTTGTAATTAGTACCAAACGAAGAGGCGTGTGCAAACGATTTAGCTAATAACACATCAGTTTCTTTGGTTGCGCTTGTTGTCCGATAAACACGGCCTACGAGAAGTTTGAACTTATCTCAATAGAAGAGTGAATCAGCTACCCCATTCGGTATTATATCTTCCAAATTACTGGCTACGAATGAGTTATGCATATATATATGAGACATCCTCCACCACGCTTGCAATCTCTATTTGCACGGTTTATTGTATTTATCTATACCTATATGCACATCAAGTATGGAGGATGAGCACCATGATTTGGTTATCGAAACTTCAGTAGGCTTGGTGATTAATAATAATGTCCTTAGTTCAGATATCTTATTGATTAGGGAACTTGCATTTATTAATAATATCGTGAATAAGTCACGGGATGCAACAAACTGGTTTTAAATATCACCATAACCTGATTCTTTTTGTGCGTCAGCACCGGAATAATTTATGGTTGATAAGGGGGTCGGACTGGATAGCCATACATCGCGGTTAAAGTGCAACGAGGTGGCCCTAGGTGCCATGAATCGTACCAGTGATTCGGGACACCTAAAAAATTTACTGTGTTGCTGGATGTACGGGTAGTAGTAGTTGGGGCTGTGAATTAAACGGCATAGCATTGTAAGGTCCACTCATCAATCTGCTATTCCGCATACTGGCACGCTTCTTGATGTTGTTTTTATAACTAGAAGAATACTGTGGAGAAGGTGCTTCGGTTGCAAGACTTTGGGGGGTTTAGGGCCTACATTTATATAAGGTGCAGTATGCTGGAAACCACCAAGTATACTTGTGTTTTGAGAGGATTTCTTCGTTTAAAGTGTGGGTTTGTTGACACGTTTACTCTCAGCAGGCTTATTGAATACAAAGTATTCTTCCCCATCATTAGACTCAATCCTGCGAAATTTGTTCACCGCAGTGAGGTTACTACATTCAGGTGAAAATTTCTTAGAACAACTTGTAGCAGTGCCAGCTATTTTAACGCCTTTCAGTGAGGCTTTATTTATAGGGATATTGATATCTAATTCAGTCCCTAGTTTCATTTGCAGACAAGGTTGTGTGTTTCGCTGAATGCTACTGTCAGTACTAGGTGACTGTTGCGGTACACGATCCACTTTCGGTAAATTTAAGACAGAGAAGATGGCCAGATTATTACTATGCATTATTCTGCGTTGACTTGGTGTTTTATCCTGAGCTATGGTCACAGACTTTCAACTACTTTTTTGTTTGAAATGACCTTCTGGTATCAAGAGAATTACTGAACTTAAAAATGATGGGACAATTAGACTGGATCGACTTTTCGCGATATCCTTTGCATTCACATGGCACACTAGCCGTGCCGCAATAATCCATGATTTTGTTTTTTATAGTCTTCAGGGGCATTGAGTCTGTGATATTGTAAACTATAACCTGGTGAGAAGAGGCCATACACCTTACTGTCTCGGCAGCCATGCATGCAATTAGATTTTCTGCTTTATTTAGGTTGTCCGGAGAAATTTAAGGAAGTTTATTTAAAAGGCAAACTATCGAGTCTAAGTCCGCAAGCTTGTTTTGAGTTACATCCAGAAGTCTGAATCCGGTCAATATTAGAAAAGTTTTCCGTGATATTTGAGATTAGCAGTGTCATACTACCAAACTGACCTAATTTTTCCTGAAGTTCAGTTACTTGACTCTGGATATCTTTCACAAGGCGGTTTAATTTACAAAAATCAGAGTTCTCTGACAGAACATCTTTCACCTGGATCACAGGAGTGAGAACTGCACTCGAGCCATTTTGTGAGCTATTAGTTGATACTGTATTACGGGGCGATAATGCGGTTATAACCGAAGGTGAGCCACTATCTAAAACACCTGTGTTTCTTCGAGCACGTTTTTTAGAAATCTGGATCATAATTTTAAGGATTTTACATTAAGGAGCAATAAATGAATATCAGAGCAAACATGTACAAAAATGTCACCAATTTCGAAAGTTATTACTCTTCAGTTTTCAAGTTCCTCTAGCTACTGAAGTGACTACGTGAAATGGTGTCTCTAACTCCACGAACGGCCCTCCCGATCTTCCTGGACTTAAAGTCGGCAAGAAAACTAGCGTACTATTTAACTAGATTAAGTGTAGTAGTAGCATTGAATAGCTTCGTGCACGTCTTATACATACAGCATAGTGAATATGAAAAGCTTTCATGGTAAATCCGTCCCACCCGGTAAGAAAACACAAGTACACGTGTAGCAGTAAGTAATTCCCCAGAATTATTAGCCACAGCATTCATTACTGAACTTTGGATGCTGACCCTCACTGTTTAATTCGACTAGTTTAGCTGAAGGCTTACGGTCAAGAATCCACGCCATTTGGCACGGTCATGTTACGTTCAGTTGTTCGTGAACGATCCCTAGATAGTTAAGCAGTCACACTCGCACAATGATTTAGTCCCAAAATATACTTCGTAATTTGGACGATCAATTTGGTGTTTTTGCTTTGCCTTTGGTCTACGCGGAATTAATACTATAGAGATTGTGGGTGTTAGATCTTGCGTTAGTATACATCGTACTATCCATGAACGTCAACACCCTTCACTTCTTAAAGTGTAAATCTGATGCAAAGACTGGAAAATAGTTGAATTCAACACAAAAAGCGTAAGTCCTTCAATCTCGTCAAAAGCGTGTTTTTTTCTCATTTACTAAGGTGACTATGTTACACAACTGCTCCAATTATGTGAACTTTGAATTTGTCTCTAGTTGTGATGAATTAATAGGATAGCAGAATCAAAAGCTGCTTCACATCTCGTTTACCTTGGTGATTCCCATTTCAAAGTTCCTGTAAGCGTGTTTCTAAACACTGTGTTACGACAGCAATGAATGACCAACTTCCCTTGAAATATCTTTGAGGGGTTTCTTCTTCCTACGTTAAAATTTTTCGTATAATTGCAAGATACATAAAACTGTAACCTGCTTCGTTATAAAACCATATCGATACAAATCACTTAACTATTTCTGTTTTAATAAATTTTAAGAGTCGACAGAATAAAAACATGAAGCAATTGGAGCCACGCCATCTAAGATATATGAGAATAACGAATCACGATATATGTATAACGAATTGAACTAGCTAAATCAAGCTTTGATATAAGCAAACCTCTACATGAAATCTCAGTTATTACTGATACAAAATCAATATATCTTCAGAGATCTACAAATGATGTGCAGAGTTTCACACCACCTACATTCAATGGAAATATACTATACATAGAATATTTAAGATCTGACTGACTGAGGTAAGTAATGTGTCAAGATTGGAAAGCTTTATCCTTTCATGTATGAGAGACTATGAAATACTTTATAGAGTGGCATTGACTGCAGTTACCTTAGACTGGCCATTGAGTATGATCAAACCGAGACATCAAAAACATTCAAATTCATTGACTTTTGACCTGAGCTTTCTGAGGACATAACCTGGGTTCCAGAAGTAGTCGAGGGCAAAGATTGGAAAATCTAGGTTATACTAAGGAGAAGCAAAAGATGAATTCGTAGCTTCTCGTGATTATATTGACAAATTTCCCTGCTTACCATATCATTTCTCACCTTGTAATATTGTGCTGTTATTTCTAATTATATTTTCATTTTATTACTTTTGTTTTCATTATTTATTACCTGTTGTGCAGGTATCTCAACTAGAATTCCAACTCACAATTCCCATCAATTTATCTCATCGCCACGTCGTTAAAACAACGCATTTCCCTTCTTTACAACATGACTATTCATATTAGCCAAAACCTACTGCATTAATTAGGTACAAACGGATGGTTAACTTAAAGGTTATGACTAGTTTCGACGTAGAAATTTACATATGTATGCAGCAGTTTGAGTTGCCACACTCCATGTAGCACAGAAAGCAAAAGAAGAGAGTAAAGAGAGATAATTAACAAATATGAGGCAACAGGAATAGCAATATGGGAGGAGAGAATTTTATTAGATATGCTTAAAGGCTACATCTTGAACCACGGACTTCTAAGTCCATAAACACTTTTAACATTATAAACAGCCATATTTTCGATCTAGTACAGGGGTTTACTATTCACCCCTTCCTGAGTTCCATAGTATGTTGATGTCAAACACTTAAAATTGAATTATAATTTGTGTGATATAGTGGAACAAGATAAAAACTTGGTCACTAACAACTCTAACTTTTGTGACAAACTTTGCATCGAAAGAACACAAGTCTTCTACGGAATGAATATAAGATTAATCTTATCATCCTTGAAAAGTGGTGTAAAGCAGAAAAAACACTGCAAACGTGTTACATTTTTCTGTATTTACACTGTATCCATACTCTGTACATTTGTAATTTTCTTTTCCGGTTTACGATCAACCTGCGATCAACTTTATTTTGAATTTTCTCCAGACCAGCATTGATAAACAATTCATGTAGCTCTTCTGTATATAAAAAATGTTAGATTTCTGGATAATTCTTTAACTCAACTAACCTTGCGTGAAAAAATAAACCGTGTGCCATCTAGTCGCATATAGAAATTATCCTTTAAACACTGACCATTCTTAAATCGTAGCTGAGCCAAATCATATCGTCCATAATCTCGAAAAAGTAATACACCACCAGGTTTCAAATATGTTACAAGATTTCTTATAACCGACGGAAATCTTAATTGAGCTTGAATTACGAGAACAGAATAACTACTTACAATTCAGGATTAACTGCTGACAATACAAATACTAAGATTAGATAATCTAAGCTGTTTCTGGGACAAGGTATTTCCTCGGTTGTCTTTGTAATATCATATGTAAAAGCGACGCAGCGACTGGAATCATATCCATCCGAATGCTTTACACAATAAAAGATGTAGTAAATATGAACTTACAGTAAGTATAGATAAAGCCTGTGCAGAGAAGTCAGAAGCATAAATGAACAAATCTGGATTCCTGGCTATGTGAAAAGTAGCATGAGATATAACTTACTTGACAAGGCGTAAAATAGGAAGTATTGTGTTTCCCACACCACAACCGACTTCCATTATATGCATACTAGATGCTATGATAATAAGAAAAAGTTAAAACCTACACGTTGAACAAAATAATTCACTGAACTCTTTTTCCATCCATTTCCTATCTTTAAAAAACTTATCTTTATGATGGGAGTAAAATTTATCCCAATACTCCTGTGCCAAAATTTCTGTCTTTTCTGAAAATCAAAACAGTAGAAGCCGTAACTTATACAAACCCTGGGAATCTTCTGGCAGCCGTTCGGTACTGTTTAGAAGTATTCTTTCTTTCGCCAAATTCTCCTGCTCTTCTGTCCACTGAATAATATCCCTGAAAAATGACTATCAAGCTTCCTTATTTCTTAAACTCACCATGCATTATGTTCATAAACATCACTATCGACTGTAAGGTATCGACAACCAAATGAAGATCTATTATCGCTATTATTACTATCACAGTCCATTTGAAGTTATCTGAAATTTTGTTTGGATCTCCTTTAATTAAGGTATAAAAAGATACGAAAGTTGTCAAAGTGCAATAAAACAATTCAAAAACAATAACATGAGTCATAAACAAAATAATAGGATTTTTTCGGGTTGGTTACTAAAGCTTCTAAACGAGTTTATCTATAGCAAATTCAAGCATTTTGATGTCACCTTACCTTTTCAATAAGGCTGTACTAGTGTGTTCACAGAGAAAGAACTTAATTTTCTTCCTGTCCACTCGTCTTTTAATCTAGCTGATTTTCCATACAATAGCAACTTGATTGATCCCGAATAACAATTTTAAGCTTGCAGATTCGACATTATGACGAGCGATAGGCTGTACTAGGAACGCCATGTATATCTAGTGTTCTATGGCTATGCACTGTATAAAATAAGTTATGAAGTTATCCACCACTAAAATTTTCCATGGAGTTGTCTTTAAAACTGAAGGCCACGAATTGCGTAGTATTTCAAAGATACAGAATTTACTACTGCGGCGAAATACCTGGTCGTATTCAAAATTTAGGCACAGATTTGCATTTTAACATTTCTCATCAAAACAGTTCTACTTTATCATTTCGATGCTCTACTATGCGAAGTAGGGATACTTGAGGCAGGCGTCTAAATTTATTTTTTACACTCGCATTAGTAGTATGACTTTTTAGATATATCTTTAGAAACTGTCTTGCACTAGAACACTAAAACATCAATGACACACTGAAAGCAGTGCCTTTGCATAAAACCATTATTTACTTATAGTTCAATGGACTTATTTCGAAATGACAATACGCAAAAGAGAAGTATATAACTGGATGGACTGGTGTTACACCAAAAATACTTAATGAAATGTAAATCGTTAAGGATACAAATGCACTACGTCTTATTTAAGTGAATGATATCATCTTGAATTGTCAACGATGCATAGTTATTTCAAAGTGGTAGATTATATACTATTTCTGATTTTTCAACTATATGGTTTAGCACGATAATTGGGTTACTGGGAGAACTAAAGAAAGCCGACCAGAAAGAAAATACCTATAAAATGCGTCCACAGAAAACATATTCGTTGCTAAGGATAAAAAGATACTTTGTTTGAAGTAGTATGCAATTTAAGCTAAAATAGAATTGAGCAGGTTACCACTGTAGTTCTCCCTAATACAATTAATTAATTTGTGCTTTAGTGACTACTAAATTAAGTGATATCCTAGTGTCTAATTTTTAAAGTGTCGTGAACGTACATTGCACCCACTAATGCATCTTACTCGAGCTCACGTAGCCATGTAAAAAGCTTTTGGAGTTGTGATCTGAAGTGAACCCAACAAGTGATCTCCATCAGCGATATCTTAAGTCTCTAGCGTTTATTCTACATGTACAAGGGGAACAGACTAGTTAACTCTGGAGAGTTAAGAACTGACTTGATACTAGGGTGCAGTCTCTAATTAGAATATGCACACGAAATAATCCTTACAGGTGAGCACGTTGAAAAAGTGCGGAATCCTCCGAGCACCTTCAGAAGAAATCTCGGCATGTCTAGTATCGAATGTAATATGATACTGCAGAACTGGTCTGCACCAACTACTAGTTTACGGATATGAAGCGAAGTGACTGAGGATGATAGTTTCAAGATTTATGTGCTACTCTTAATTCAGCCATCGTGATGACGATTTGGATTACCCTCTATCTCACTTTATCGTATTGTATATAAGAGTGCTTCAGTTTCAGATTCCATGATAAACGACAATAGACAGGCTTATATTAATCCTCATGATGCGTAGTGCAATGGCGGTTTAGTCTCGCTACACAAGAGCTGACGAAAAGTGACAAAACTTGTTAATTTGAGCACTGTAGTAGAATACAATTGCATATTAGGTAAGCTTATTTGATATAACACAGTGATGCAGTATTAATAACTGGATCACATTTCGAGCAAAATATAATGCTAATAATCATAACAATATATTCACACGAGTTATTAACTTGCTTTATAGACTTTTTAACCCTCTTCACCTAGCTGCATTAATTTATATTACTTTCACCCTATCTAACCCTATTGTGTTGGACATTTGAATACATAGAATAATAAGAACTGTGGTCAGACTTTCAAATAAGTGGTCTATTTACGCTGATTTGTAGTATTAAGATAAGTGGAAAAAGGTTACACAGTAACTCACTATTCACCACAACTTTCCTTGCGCGTTCCTCAATGTGCGGTGTTCAGTTTAGAATATTAGCCAATAAAATGTAAATGTGCAAAATCCCTCTTAAATATAATGCTAGTAACGTTAGAAACTAGCTACTTGTAAAGGCTGGATACTGACAAAAAATGATTGAATAAGTTTTCAGCTTAGAATTTCGCACGAAATTGCAGAAGTCTGGGTTGCCACACCCCATGCATAATACGGAGGTAGCGGAAAAAGAAATGGTTAAATCAGAGGAATTGTATAAGTGGACATGTGGAGAAACGATTATTAGATGGAAAAAAATGAAAACTTAATGAGTTTATGAGATCACGGAAAATGAATACATCTGTACTGGCGGGAACGGTTTTAAGCTACATCACTGACAGTACCTAGCCATTTATTCTTAGTATCGCGAGGACTCCAGTCAGACAGTGTACAACTCATAGCTTGAAGTAAATGTTGAAAGCTTTACGAATTTATAACAGGTTTTGGTTTGACGACGCCTAACTTTTTTCCAAAAACATCCGCTAACATCGCACGACCAGGAAGGCGGTAGCTCGACATGCGCGACACGCGTCCTAGCCATCTCAATCGATGCAGTTTCACAACATCCTCGATTAACTTTCCTTCTTTACATAGCATTCTACGCCTAACCACAATAATACTCTCCATATTACACCACTTAGCACGAAAAACTGACCACGGATGTTTGTGTTTTAAGAGTTAGATTCTTCCGGTCTTCCATCCTCAGTGACCACGTTTCACGACCACAGAGAAGAACAGAGCGGTCTTCTGCGTAGTACACACATCCTTTGGTCGTTAGGCAGATATCAAGTTTACGCCAGAGATGACAATTTGGCGAAAATTGCACGAGCTTCTTATATTCGCGCTGAGATTTCGTCAGCAGTCGATGCAACGGAGCTGGTATAACTCCACAAATCGGTGAAATGGTTAACACGCCAGCCGCTTTTATTTATACGATTCAGACGAATAACTCACACTGATATTTCTCAAGGATCACAATTACATAAAACGAAAAGACATAAATTGTGTTCTGATTCCTGCTACTTTTGCTAAATGCTTTAAAAGAGATATATGCGAGTTTCAAACACTTTACGGAAAGCTGAAAAAGTATTTTTGGAAATCCCAGTATATAGAAGCCGAATAAAATAGGCAAGATAAATTGGCTAAAACGAAAAGCTTTCATAATTTCGTATCATATCTCATTTCGAATTTATTAGTAAATCTAAACTAGGTTTATGCTACCACTACACTAATTTACAAACTGGTGGCTTCAAAATCAATACGTCGAAGACGCAAATACTGGGATGATGACAGTACTGACGAATTATTCGTTTACTTAAATATACATTTGGAAAGCCGTATAACGTAAACTTGTGTATATTAATATGATTACTGGTACTCAGTCACTGTGTTATATCAAATAAGCTTACCTAATGTGCAATTGTATTCTACTACAGTGCTCAAATTAACAAGTTTTGTCACTTTTCGTCAGCTCTTGTGTAGCGAGACTAAACCGCCATTGCACTACGCATCATGAGGATTAATATAAGCCTGTCTATTGTCGTTTATCATGGAATCTGAAACTGAAGCACTCTTATATACAATACGATAAAGTGAGATAGAGGGTAATCCAAATCGTCATCACGATGGCTGAATTAAGAGTAGCACATATATCAGAAAAACCAACAAGCTCCTGACATGTATTTTTGTCGAAATTTTACAAGTGACAACTCATGTTAATACAATGATTCTTTAAATATCTGAACATGCTTCAATGGCCTCAAAATGATATGTTTCCTCGTAATAAGTCTACTAATGAAATTAAAATATGACTGAAAACTAGGTAAAGCTGCATACCTGTTGTGTGAAGAGATATAGCATGTCCTAAGAAATTAACTGCTATGCGTTGCCGCATTCCGATTGCAAAGACTCACACTACTTATCTGCTTATTTTCGTCTCACATTTCTGTTTATTATCACTCTATACTCTCTTCTGCTGTGTCGCGTACTGCATTGAGTATGGCAGATCAAATTACTACACGTCTGTGTCAAGTTCTAAGCAGGACAGAATTTCTGATAAGGTAGACAGTCACAAATACCGTAAACCAATTTTCTTCAAATCAGGAATGCACGAATTACGCAAACATGAAGAAATGTGACTGGACCATTTGTGTATTAAGTTTACCTGGATCCTAGATAATTAACGTCTTATGTAAAACTAGGATGCCAGGCCGTAAAAATATTGAAAAGTAGTGAGAAACACCTGTATAATACGCAGTAAATATACTGGAAAACACACTTTACGAGATGCAACCACATGAGGCTAATGTAACGCCTACTGTGGATAGCCCGCCGTTCTGACTCATATTTAGAAAATGCTGGATAACAGGCTATTGTGGCCAGTTTCTATCCTTGAAATATACAGATTCAGATTTTTTGGTTGAGGATAGGGGGTTTGGAGCCTATGTTAATCCTTTTCTAGTAGATTTCTGTGGTTGTCCAAACCCTTCTTGAACGAATCAGTTGAGGTTGCAGACACCACTTCTTCTGGGAGTCGGTTCCAAGAGTTTATGACTCGATGTGAGAACCAGTACTCAACAGCAATATGATTTCTCCTTGGCTTTTGAACTTTCCTGCTATGTCCTCTAAGGTGTTCCGACCTGGTGGGAAGGAAAAGAGAGAATAGGTCAGGTCCGTAGTCATTATTTAAAATTTTAAACATTGTGATTAAATCTCCTCTCTGCCTACGGTATGACAGTGAGAAGAGATTTAAA